CAGCCGCTGCTGGTCAGTTTCAGCAGCAGCTGAATGGGGGATGCCTCCCCAAGAGCAGCTGGGGTGCTGCCAGGTTGGTCCTGCAGCCCCGAAGGGCAGCGCTATGGGACCTACCCAGGAGCACCCCAGCTGCTCTGCCCCCAGCTTCTCTGATTCAGCTGCTGGTCAGTTTTAGCAGCGGCTGAATGGGGAAGCTGGGGGCAGAGCAGCTCCAATGGTCCAGCTGCCCGGAACACTTCTGGGTTCTTGATGGTGCCGGACCATCAGCAGTGCCGGACCATCAGGAGTTTTACTGTACTTCTGTTCACTCTCCATTTACTCATTTTAAATCAAGATTGTCTACTTCTCTATAAGATGTGCTCAAGGAATAACGTCCCCAAAATAATATGTATGATCTGTGTTACACAGGAGGTCAGACTAGCACATCATAATGGTCCCTTTTGGATTCAGAATCTATAAGTCTGTTGACGGGCTAGGAGGCTCACTCCAAAATGCTGCGTAGACATACCCTAAATACCTAGCACTACTGTTTTGCTTAGTTCTTTCAACAATATTCAGCAGAGTCTACAGGACTGAGAATGTAGAGCTGCAGTCATAGGCAGCGAGTTATATGGGCTCATGGTGCCCATGGTCCAGCAGTATTCAGAGCCAGGGGCCCTGCTCCACCAATATTTGAACAGGCCCCCCATGCGTCCTCCCACCCCAGCCCCAGAGCATCTCCCCGACCCTGCTGTGCACAGCTTTCAGTCCGGCGCACACTGCCAACTGCTGCTGCTATGTATTTACAGGTGTGCAGGGAGATGCCCGGGCGTGACATGATGTCATGGCCTGAGACTTTAAAACTGCTCGGTGCAGGGTTGCGCCGCGTGGCCTAGCTCTGGGTTTGGAGTTGGGGGACTTCTGGGGCCTGAGCAGAGACTCTGGCCCCACAAAGTGGAAGGCAGAAGGTAGGGGAGGAGAAGGGGGAAAACAAGGAAGAGGTAGGAGGAGAAGGGGAAGGCATCAAGGGACAGGATGGAGGGAGAGACAAATGCCAGGAGGCCAAGTGCAGACAATGAGGAAAAGGACAGGAGGGGAGGTGTCAGTAGGAGGGGGGACAGGGTGATGCTGGGAGAGGAGAGGGTAAGGGCATTGCGAGCTAGAGGGGGGAGGGGCGGTGCTGGGAGAAGGCTTGAAAGAAGGGGTGGGCATGAAAAAGGCAAGGATGGAGCAAGTCATGTGTGAGGGCACAGATGGGCATGAGAGGAATGGGGGCAGAGAGTGGTGAGGGATGGGCATCCGGGAAAAGAGGGCAGGGGCAGTGAGGGAAGGGGGAGGCACCAGGAGGGTGCAGGGGTAAGGGAAGGTGCAGGTGCCAGGGGATTCTGGGGATGAAGCAGAAGGGAAGACACCTGCAGGGGAGGGACCAGCACCAGAGGAGAGGGGTAGGGCAGGTGAAGGGAGGCAGGGGGTTGGAGGGGGGGGGGGGGGAGTAGGCATGGGGGGAAAGAAGGGCTGGTGGAGGGGGGCAGGTCGCAGGAGGGCTGAGGGCAGTGAGAAGGGCAGGCGTCAGGACAGCAGAGGAGGGTGAGGAGTTGGGGGGCAGCAGGCACCAGGGGAACTGAGGGATCAAGGGGAGGAGACTTGGCAGCAGAGAGAAAAGGTTTATAAAATATATATGAATAACTTGGGTGCCACAGTGGCACATCCAA